AAATCTTGTTCATTCAATTCTTATGTTGCAATCAATAGGTATAGTTTTGGGGCAAGCAACTAGATATTATGAGATGAATATGGTTGATTTTCTAGTCAAGGAGGATTCATCTTCAAGAACCTAAGCATAGATTGTTGTCCAAACATCAAAATTCTCTTCCCGGATATTCCTTATAAGCTCGAGACAAATAGTGAAACCATTCTTTAATACAAATAATTATGGACAAACATGTAAAATGAAAATTTATGAAATAGACGGCAAATTACGAATGCTTTGCTATAAGGAAAATCAACAGTGATTGCTTTGTTCGGACAAAGTGGAAGTGAAAACGATAGTGGTTTTGCCTTTGCAGGAAAACATTTTCCCAATACGTGGATTATTATGGCAATTTTTTTTTTATGTTTTTAAAAGAATTATTACTTGTTTTTTAAATGTATGTGTTGTTTATTAATGAATCAAATCAAAGTAGTATTGAGTCACGAAATACATAGCCAACCAAACCAAACATAGTTAAGCAAACATCGAAATCCTAATGTAAAGGAGTGAATGATGTTGCTATGCCGCTTCTCGAGCAATACAATCTTGAAGCCATGAGGAACCTCCTAGCGCCAAATAAGATTGAAACCTGCCCTCGCTAGTCACACTTTTTCATAACTTAAGAATGACTTTGGGTGGAGTATTTTCATAATTTGGTTAGGTGGTGGTGGGCAATATTGACTGGGCCAATAAAGCCCATAGAAAAAGACGGAACACGTTATCATTACCAATGCATGCCTCGTTTAGGTTATCTATTAAATACGGAAAAAAAAATTCTGGTCGTATTTCATACTTCTAATTTCTTACATAGAGCTGATTACATAGAAAAGAAAAGGCAACAACACTGGGCAGTCCTTTGGTCGTAAACCATGAAGGGAAAGAGGAAGGAAAATAAAAGTCAATAGAGGATCAAGTACCTCTGAACCATAAACCAAGGCAATCCGCAAATCTGGCTTTATCCTTATGGGCAATGCACGAGTCTCGGATTCCTCTATCAATCTTCTTATAAAGCACTTCTGTAGGCATGCGCTTGTTAGAAAAGATTCGGTCGTTTCTCTGTTTCCAAATAGAGTATGTGATAGCTTGAGCTGTTAGAAGCCTCAAGTTATTCTCAGCTGCGTTTAGGTAAGGTCTCTTTAGCCATCGCTGAAAGACAGACCAAGTACCAAACCCCATGAAAGGAACATTTAGCCACTTGAAGCCTAGTCTCCACACATCTTGGGCATACAGACAGTTCAACAACAAATGATACCTTGTTTCGTCAAATATTTCACAAAGAACACAAGTTCTATCTTCAATGACTCTCGAGTTAGCAAGCCTAGATTTT